TATATATATATATATATACATACACACACTAGAGGAAGCATTACAAAGCATTAAAAAAAAAAAAAACGTAACAACAACAAAATAATGTGATAATCAAAGCGGGCTTCAAGGAAATGAACAGACAGATAGTTAACATGATCATGAGGATAAACTATAGAATTACATCCACTTATTAGTTAATTAGGTTCCTCTTCCTGTCTTAACTATATATGTAAAATAAAAACTACGTACAGTACATACTAGTCCTCAATCATTAATAAGTTGTAATTGGAACTTTGTGATACTAATTGAAATTCATGTCTACTTACTTCTACAAACAACTAAACATTTCAACTTCGAGAATGAACATCTAGACACCTCAACTCGTGATACATTGTGGCTAATCGACACCCAACGCTGACATAACACATATATTATGAAAGGTGTCTAGATGATCATTTTGTAAGTTGCAGTTTTTAGTTAAGGTGTATTCTACCCATATCTATGCACTATGCGCTCCAATTTCAAGTTAGGCATTGGAACTTACTTCATGCTTCATGGTAACTGAAGATTACAACTTCAACACGAGAGTCGCACACTTCAGAAGAATCTAATAATACATAAGATCTCATGGTAATGAAAAGCACATATATATACAATATCTTATCTGTCATAATAAAGAACACAAGAACTGATAGCTAGCACTGTTTAGACTTAATAAACAGTTATTAACCACAATGTTATCAATAAACGAAATGGATATAGAAAAACCGCGTTGGCAGAAGGCATACATGTCTTTAGGATCGGTTCATCATTTGAAGCCTTTACAGGTTGATATGATCTGGCCAACCTTTGTATGCGCTTGCTCGATCTCTCTGCAAAGATGATTGTATAAGTTAAAAGTAATATTGGAAAAAACATAACATTTCTAAAGGAAATTTAATGTACGAAAGAAGTTAATGAATTCGTATTCATACTCACATTCTTTAGATCATCTACCATGGAAGCGTACCTCAAGCTTGTCTTCTCCGGTCATTTCTTCAACATATTCCTTAATATTGAAGATCGACTCTTTAAGCTGAGGGCTGTACCATACATTGATCAACTTTAATGACGCAATATCTCCAAAACTGTCTGGGATCTCCATAAGCTTATCACAGCTATTTATATCTAGTTTCTCGAGCACGGGAAAGGATTTCTCTGCATCAACCTGCCATTCAGAAAATTCCACCCTACCCAATTTTAGAAATTTGAGATTCTGGAAGGTGACATCTTCCATGTTCCATTCTTCCCCTCCTCGATGATTGCGTCTTCTAGACTTAGTTTTTGAAGGTTGGGTAGTCTAGCAATTCTTGACATTGAATCGGATGTCAGAGCGAGCCCTTGCAACCTCATTTTCTTCAAGCTCCAAGGGAAGCCGTGTGTATATTCATTGAATGAATCCCAAGAAGAAGATAAACGGAGTTCTTCAAGTTCGTTTAGGACATCCAATCTTGGAAAACAAATCTTCTCTGCTGAACAATCTGATAGTTGTTCGATACAGACTCTAAGGTTTTGAAGATTAGGAAACCTTTTGAAAATATTCTCCGTGTCTTCTGAACCGTGAAGGTAGAGCTCATATAATGTTCTCAAATTTTCTAACCTTGAGTCCTCGTCTAACCCAGTTGGTTCGTTGATGTATGGATCATAGAAAGAACAAATGTTGATACGCACATCTCGTAGCTTTGCAAGACTCCAAAAACAAGGCGATAGTATCATGTATGATCCCTCCGAGTTATCCACCATCAGAGTTTCTAGATTGCAGAGGTTTAAAAATGACGGAGGGAGAGCTTTTGACTTCGTCTGAATGAATAAGTACTTCAAATGAACGAGCATACCGATTTCATTCAGCAAAGAATCAGTCAATGTTATGCCGTGTAAATCCAAACTTTTAAGAAGCCTCAAGTGTTTTAGGTGACTGTTGTAGGGAAGACAATGCTCATCAACCTTCAGAGAGAGGAGGTGTTTAACATAAGGATTCTTCATTTCTGGATCAAACACGACAAAATTTTCATTGAAATGAAATAGATATTTATTAAAATGAATGATAATTCCACGTGGCATAAGATCCGAAGAAGAAGAAGTGGAAGACGGAGCTTCTGAACCTCCTATATAGTGAAGCAACTTTTCCTTTCTAGATTTTATATAACAAAAGTCATGCACAAGATCATGAATTTTGCAAATAGAATTATCGAAAGGTATTACCAAGCTACTGGTAATTAACTCATCCACTACTTCTTCTGCACTTTTCATCACAATCTGCTGCACAAGTCCTTGTGAAATCCACAAATTTTTCAACTCAGAGATCCTTATATCTTTGTCCTTTGGATAACTTGCAAGGTAAACCAAACACGGCTTTACGTGATCTGACAAATGGTCATAACTTAATTGTATAACCTTCA